AATTGGAAAGCAGCTATCCATGAGACTTTTATCGCGGGAGTTGTCTTTAATTACCTTTGGCACTGCATGAACGCCGCCCAATTGAATTCTGCCGTCGCAGCGCGCGATTGTGAAGTCTGAACGCGGTCCGAACGTGAAATAGTGGTGGTTACAAGGGTCTTATGCGACTGGGTGATTTGTTTGTGCACTCCCAAAATAAGAAAAAAAGGCCCAAATAGGAGAAAAAAGCAACAAAGCACAACCGTAAGCATTTATATGCGGCAGTGTAAAAAAAAGTGAAAGCAAGCAGTACAACACAAAGTAGAAAAACCATCCGAAACGAACCCAGGCTACGCCGAAGCGAGATCAAACCACTCGCACCACTACCCCCAGATATTGTCGATAGATCAGCTAAAATGCGCGTTTTAATTGAAGAAGAAACAAAACTAACCCTTATGTAAATACTTTGGAGGTCCGTGAGGACCTGAAAAAGTAAGCAATATAACAGTTAAAACAGTCGGCCACTCATGGTTAGGCTGCGTTCATACTTTGCGTCATGGTTTCGAGCTTACGGCATTTTGAGTTTTTAGCGACTGTGAAAGCATAGGTATCCATCTAGCTTTTTCAGCGACAGCCCGCTAAAAGTCCGAGACCATCCGCAAAACGCTCAAAACGCTGGATCGATATCTATACTTTCCCAGTCGCTCAACATGCTCAAAACACTGACGCAAAGTATGAACGCAGCCTTACTTTAATGATGCATGAGCGTTATTCCGATGAATGACCTCTCACAGAAAAACGAGATTTTCATCTTATTCGATTTCTATCTCACTCACAGTGACCATAACGCAACAAATCAAAAACTTGAGTCTCGCTCATTTCCAGTCTGATAACGCTGCGGAAGAACACCATGAGTGATAAGCACTTTTCTTCATGAACAACTGTGGAAGCCAGCACCGTCTAGCACATCAATCGTAATCTAGCACTCAAGTTAAGCAATTCAGATGATGATAAAGAAAACAGCCAATAAAAAACAATATTGCCTAAAAGCTATGGACCTCCAATGAACTTTAAATTGTCAAGGAATCCTGCGGCTGCCAATTTCACAGACCTTACTCGTCTTTTTCTCCATTCGGTCTTCTTTCGTCTTCAGCGTTTGTCCCGCTCTGTTGCGCAAGGGTGCGCGTCTTTGATTTTGGTACGCCATTTCCCCGGTCGAATGCTTGATCGGGTACGGTATCATTCTCTTTAGAGATCCGACTCAGGATGTGGACTGGTACCAATTATCTTGTAGTGCCGCGCAGCGTTGTCAGCCGCAACTTGCCTAGGGCGTCCCTTTAGGTCGTTTGCAGCAACACTCGAGCTGGAGGGAGACAGCAATCGCGACGCATGTCACGTTATTCGCGCGGAGTACGTGGTCACACCATCCAGGACGAGATTCTCGCATTTTATCAGCTTTGGAAGCCACGCAGAGCTTCTTGCGTATGTCACCGCAAATCCGGTCCATATGCGTGACACCGGACGTCCAGCGTAGCACTCTCATCTCCATCACGACTAGGTGGCTTCGAACTTTTTGGTTGCAGGCCAGCACTCACAATCGTCACCAGTACAAACGGACTTGGTCTGGATCACGGGTTCCTATAGATCTCGATTTGAGGCGCTCTCATTGTTAGTCTTGTCGCAGAGAACTATGCGTCATCGAACCACCACTTTTGCCCACGCCTGCACTCACGTGAATGTTACCTTCATGCGTCAAGATATTTACACGGAGGCCTGATCTAGGAAATTTCAGCTGTTTTACATATTACTATCCCACAAAAGCTTCATCTTTCGCTGGCCAGTCGCGGAGATTACAATCTACGCCTTTGCATATCAAATAGTTTATACAGCCAGCTCCTAACGGGTAGTAGTAGACAGATCGATTCTATAAAATACGCACAT